TGTCTATTTGTGGTTTTGTTGCCTGTGTTTGGGATCGTATAAAAAAATCATTGCTCAGACTAATGCCATGGAGTCCTCCTCCACTTTTTTCTAGTAGTTTTACAGCTTGAGGTCTTAACATTTAAGGTTTCTTGTTTTTTTCCTCCCCATCCCTCTCTGTACTGGATTGACATCAGAGGCTCTTTACCACTGAGCTATGGTTGCTCCTTTCTGGGTTTTTTTTTTTTTTTAATTTTTTAATATTTATTTTTTAGTTTTCGGCGGACACAACATCTTTGTTTGTATGTGGTGCTGAGGATCGAACCCTGGCCGCACGCATGGCAGGCAAGCGCTCTACAGCTTGAGCCACATCCCCAGCCCCTCCTTTCTGGTTTTTGAGATAAGGTCTCCATGACTTTCCCACGCCAACCTTGAACTTGTGATTCTCCTGCTTTCGCCTCACAAGTAGCAGGGATTACAGGGATGTGCCATCACACTTGACAGTTGATGTATGTGTATGGTAAACTGATAAATTGATGTATGTGTGTGGTATGAGAAGATAGCATAATTCTGTTTGTGGATTGTCTATTTTTACCAATGCTTAGTGAAGAGATTGCACTTTGTCCATTGTGTGTTATTGCCTACTTGTCAAATTTGTTGTTTACTGTCCATGTGTGGATTTATTTGGGGGTTTTCTATTCCATTTCATTGGTCTGTTTGTCTGTTCTTTACTGCAGTGCCATACTGTTGATTACTATGGCTTTGTTGTATGTTTTGGAATTAGTGTGATGCCTTTGGCTTTGTTTTTGTTTAGGATGCCTTTGAGTATTTAGGATTTTTAAAAAGACTTCTGTGAAAAAATGTCATTGGAAGTTTTGAAAGGCCGCATTGATTCAGGAGATCACTTTGGACAATAATTTTAACATTTATTATTCCAAAAATTTATAAGGAACTGAAAAAACTCAGTTGAGAGAACAGAAAACCCAAATAACCTGAATAAAAAATGACTAAGGGACTTGAATAGACATCTTTTCAAAGAAGACATATAAATAACAGTAGGTCTATGAAAAGCCCTCAACATCACTAGTCATGAGGGTAAGAAAGGAAAATCACAATGGGATATCACCCATACCTTTTATTTTGGGTATTATCAAAATGATAAAGGATGAACTTGGGCAGGGTATTTACAACATGGAACCCTGAACAGCACTGATAGGACTGTAAATTGGTTTAGCCATCATAGAAAGAAATACGAAATTTCCTCAAAAAAATCAAAAGTAGAACTACTACTATATTAACCCTATAATTCCACTAATTGCTATACATCCAAAGGATGTGAAATCCTGATGTGAAAAAGAAATAACTATACTTTTGTGTTCATTGCAGCATAACAATAGACAAGATGTGGAATCAGCGTAAGTGTCCATCAGTAGATGAGTGGATAAAGGAAGCCTGAGCCAGCAGTGGTGGTGCATGCTGTACTTCAGCTACTCAGGAGGCTGGGGCAGGAAGGTCACAAGTTTGAGGCCAGTGCTGGCAATCTATTTAGACCCTGTTTCAGAAAATAAAAAGGGCTGGAAATACAGCTCTGTGGTAGAGAACCATTAGGTTCAGTGCTAAGTTACTAGTAAGAAAATAGAGAAAGAAAGAAAATTTGGGGGATGTGTTAGTGTATATATTTATTACACAGAACATATCAACATAAATTTAATGCAATATAAATATACATATGAATACATATACCACTGTCTTAAAAAAACAGAAGGAAATCTTATTATTTGTGACAACATGGATGAGCCAATAGGACCTTGTGTTAAGTGAAATACGCTATATGTATACAAATACTGTACGATCTAGCTTACATATGGACTCTAAAAATGTTTAACTCAAAAGCAAAGAGAAGGTTAAGAGGGGTTGTGGGAGAGGACAAAGTGGATGATGTGGGTGAGAAGATATATCATTAAACTTAGGAGGAATAAGTTCAAAGGCTAGGTACAGTGCCAAGCATCTGTAGTCCCAGTGTCTCTTTGGAGGCTAAGGCAGGAATTTACTTAGTTTGAGACTAGTCTGGGAAACAGCTCGACACTGTCTCAAAGAGAGAGAATGGGAATTTCAAGATCTATTTTATAACACGATGTTACAAGTTAAAAACAATGCATTCTTGGGTCAAAAAATAAACAAAGGCAATTAATGATAAAATTCACAAATAGCGAAATTTTTTTGTATGTGTTTGTGTATGTGTGTATTTGTGTATGTGTATATGTTGCTGGGGACCGAACCCAGGGCCTTGTGCACACAAGGCAAACACTCTACCAACTGAGCTATATCCCCAGCCCACAAATAGCAAAATGTTAATTGAAATAAAAATATAATACTCCTAAATTGTTTTACAAATTTAACATAGTTCTTTGTTCTTTATCTTCCAATGTTACTGAGGATTGAATCCTGGGACTCAAACATGCTAAGCAAACTCTCTATAACTGAGCCACATCCTCAACCCTTTTTATTTTCTTTTTGAGAAATTGCTGAGTTTGGCCTTTAATATTGCATCTGCCTACTCACCCTCCCAAGTAGCTGGGATTGCAGATGCGCACCTGACCTCAGTACAATTCTTACCAAAATCTTACCTGTCTGTGGGCCCAGTGGTGTATGCCCGTAATCCCAGCAGCTCGGGAGGCTGAGACAGGAGAATTGGAAGTTCAAAGCCAGCCTCAGCAGTGGCAAGGTACAAAGCAACTCAGTGAGACCCTGTCTCTAAATACAAAATAGAGTTTGGGAATATGGCTCAGTGGTTGAATGCCCATAAGTTCAATCCCCAGTACCTCCACTCTAAAAAATCCTACCTATCTTTGCAGAAAATGATAATCTGGTCCCAATTTTTTTATGGGAACATAAAACAATTCTAAAAAGAATAAAACGTTAAGAGAACACACAGAGATCTTGAATTCAAAACTTAGCACACAGCTGCAGAAACCAAGACTGTCCAGTAAGTATAAGGACAATCCAGAAACAAACTTGCACATTTATGGACAATTTGTTTTTGTGCAAGAGTATCCAAACAGTTCAATTGGGGAAGGAATGCCCTTTCCAAATTGTGCTGAAACAACTTGCTGTTCACATTGCAAAAGAATGAATGTGGACCACTACCTCACACCATATACAAAAATTAACCCAAAATGCATAACAGATCTATACATAAGAGCTAAAAGTATAGGCTGGGCGTGGTGGCACCTGCATGTAGTCCGAGCAGCTCGGGAAGCTGAGACAGGAGGAACAAGAGTTCAAAGCCAGCCTCAGCAATGGTGAGGCGCTAAGCAACTCAGTTAGACCCTGTCTCTAAATAAAATATAAAATAGGGCTGGGGATGTGGCTCAGTGGTTGAATGCCCCTGAGTTCAATTCTGGTTCCAAAAATAAAAAGTAGAAGGTATAAAAAAAATGGGCAAATTATCACGATCTTGGATTAAACAGTGATTTTTTTTTAGATATGACACCAAAAAAAGTACAACCAACATGAAAAAAGATGAACTTGTATCAAAGTTTAGAAGTTTAGCCTGTGCTGCTGGTGGGAGGTGGTGGAACTCTTAGGAGGCGGGGTTTAGGGGAAGGAATTTAGGTCATTTGGATGTGCCCTTGAAAAGGACATTGGGACCTTAGCCTGTTCCTGTCTGTGTCTTTGCTTCCTGGATGCCATGAGGTGAGCACTTTGCTCCACCAAAGTTCCCCCTGCCATCATGTTCTGCCTTGGTACCAGCCCAAAACAATGGCACCAAACAGCCATGAAACTGTGAGCCAAAATAAAACCTTTCCTCCTTTTAAGTTGTTTATATGAGGTATTGGGCCACAAAGACAGAAAGCTAATAACATCAGTAGCCATCAGAGAAATGCGGATCATAATGACATCGAGGCCCCACACCGATTGCACTAGGATGGCTATATGAGAAAGATAAATCTTGGTGAAGAAATGTTAAAACTGGAACTTTCAATCACTCCTAGGATAAATGCAGATTGATCGAAATGCTTGGAAAAAGGGGAGGGGCATGGGGGCAGGAATGATGGTGGAGTGAGATGAGCTTATTACTCTAGGTGCGTGTATGACTGCACATGCGGTGCGGTTCTACACTGTGTACAACCAGAGGAATGAAAAGTTGTGCTCCATTTGTGTACGTCTGCTCTCATGTATAACTAACTAGAACAAATTTAAAAATGCTTTGAAAAACATTCTGGCTATTCTCAAAAGGCTAAATATTGAGGCACCATACTAGGTGAATGGGTTAATAAGTTGTCTCAGGATTGGGTTTGCTGTAAAAGCCTGTTGGGCTGGGTCTCACATTGATTCCCTGTCTCTTGCCACTTAATAACCTGCAGCACCTTGGGATTCCAACAGCTACAAGGACTCTTGACCTTGTATCATAACTGTGAGCCAAAATAAACCTGATTATAGTTTGTGCAGTCTGTGGTATTTTGTTATTATCAGCAGAAAATGTAACAAAGAGAATATATAAATTATGAAGTATAATAACATTAAAATCTTTGAACCAAAAATGTAGAATACTACCAATCACTTGAATTTGCCTTCTTGTTCTCCATACCATGCTTCCTATACCTCTTTGCCATATTGCATTGATTTTTTTTATAAAGAGTAATTTTATTATAAATGTCACACATAACATTGTTTAATTGTATTTATGAGTTGAATATAGTTTTCTAATAATTTTTTTTCATAAATATTTCCAAAATTTATCCATGTGGTTTTATATAGTAATAATTGATTCATTTTCATGGCATTGTACTGATCCATTGGATTAATATACCAAAGTTTGTTTATCTGATTGTATCTAAAGTTTGTTTGCATAATGTGCAGTTTTTGTTGTTGTTGTTGTTATTGTTATTGCTGCTGTTGAACTGTTTTTTGTTGTTGTTGTTTTGTTTTGATTTTTGCCCCTTATAGTAATGGGGATTGAACCTAGGGGCATTCTGCCCCTGAGCTGTCCCCCCATCCCTTTTTATTTTTTGAGACAGGGTCTTGCTAAGTTGCCCAGGCTGACCTCCAACACATGATTCTCCTGCCTCAGCTTCCTGAGTTGCTGGGATTACAGGTGAGCAACACCACACACAACTGAACATTTTTGTGTTAAGGTACATAAGTATAAGCTTTTGTTGTGTGGGTTTGTTGGGCATCAATAAGGTATACAATGCTCAACTTTTTAAGATAGCCAAATTGTTTTCTGAATTAGTTTTTTTCCAGTTCACACCGTAAAAAAACAATGTGTAAGAATTACCACTGATCCATACCCTCTTGAGCTTCAGTACTAACCATATTGGGTTTTACCAGTTAATCTATTTGGATATAGAATTATATCGGTCTTAATTTGCCTTTCCCTAGTTCATGGCATGTCTCATTTATTTTTTGTCTATATGTTTGTATTTCTATAAAACTTCCTGCTATGTCTTGTTCATTTTATCTTGAGTTGTCTTATCTCATTTATTATTTGATTGGTTAGCAAACAGATTAACCCAGTCCTAGCACATGCTAGAAAAGCTCTGGACTGCATCCCCAGCCCTTTTTATTTTATTTTGAGACAGGGTCTTACTGAGTTGCCAAGTCTGGCCTCAAACTTTTGATCCTCCTGTTTCAGCCTACTATGTTGCTGGGATTACAGGCACGCACCACCACACCACCTCACCCCACCCCAGGACTCACACATTAGGCAAGTACTTTACCACTGAGCAACCCCCCACTCCCAGCTCTCTCATTTATTTTTAAACAATACTTAATGAACAGGAATTACAGGTATCTCTGTGCATTTTTGGTTTCTCTTTGCTCTTCCTAACTTCAGTATTGTCAAATTTATTCTCTCTCTCTCTTCCTCTCAATGCTTGTTTTTCTTACCACATGATGACCTGTGAAGTATTCAGGCTTGCTGTTGGTACAGAAGCACTTACTGATCTGGTTTATCTGAGGTTATGTTGCTATATATCATGGCTGTGCAATGACAAAAATATATATTAATGCAGAATGTCTGCTAACTTATAGTTAGGCCAAAGTTCACAAACAACGTGAAATAACTAATCATTAATGTGTTTATACTTGATAGTTGATCAAATTTAGGGCATTGAGGAGAGAGGTAAGTCACTTGGAAAATTTTGTGCATGAGATTGCTTACAGAAGATAAGCAAAACTGCCAGTAAAAGCATAGGGAATGTAAATATTGGTAACTGTTGCATAACATTTAGTAAAATTCAGCTTATTTCTGGAAGAATAAAAATCAACTAGTTGGTCTAATTTTGCGCATCACCAGAATTTCTGATTCTTTTCAGCCAGCTTAAATCCTTTGCTGTCACATAAGCCACATTTTCGGAGATCTTTGGAATCAGGATACTCTTCATGTGGTACTTGGTGTAAAAGATAAATTTCCTATAATTTTTCTTCAAGTTTAAGAGGTTTGTCTTAATCATCTAAGAATTCATTTTAGCATGTAGAAAGAGGAAGGGATCTAGTTTCATTTTTCCCCTTAGGTGTGTAATTGTTTTGCTGTATTCTGTTTGTTTTTGTTTTGATATTGGGAATTGAATCCAGGGATGCTTTAGCCCTGAGCTACATCCCAGCCCTTCTTTGAGACAGTATCTCACTAAATAGCTGAGGACCTTGCTAAATTAATGTAGTCCAGAAGACGCCTACCACAATCATAACAAGTTTCTCTCCTTGTAAGCAAGATTGTTAAACCAAAAACAAAACAAAGAATATCAACAGGATTTTTGCAGAGAACTCATTGTGGATTGAAGCTTCCTCTTTTTTGTAAAAGCTTTCCCTTTCTATTTTCCTTGGTAGAAATTTGTGAAACCTCTGTCCAATGTAAGAATATGGAACAAAGAGTCGCTGTTATGTAACCAACCCCTAAGTATAAATGTCAAAGAATTTCCATACTCTGGGTCCATAGATTTTTTTGGCAGCAGCCCCATTGGAACACTGCAGCATAATTAAGCCTGCTTCTTGAAAGTTCCTTGGGTATCCAGCTGCTGGGTTTCTGTTCTCTCTCCAGGTAAACTGGGCTGACTAGGCTGCACGAAATAACCACACAAGAGACACAGATACCTTTTTCTTTGGGGTCACTATGACGGCTCCTCTGACCTTAAGGGTCCACAGAAAGAGAGAGCAAGAGCACACACTGACCCCTTTTATTGAGGAGAAGCTATTTAAATGAGGCAAGGGGTCAGATTTCAGGGGGCTGAGTCTATCTTCATGATGTCCACTGTCAGCAGTTGACTGACACCTGGGTAGGCCACACCCAAGGGCAGAGTAAGAGAAGGGGACACACACAAGGCACTTCCATGGAAGATTCTATCCTAAACAGGGCAAGGGGTTATATTACAGACGAACAGGTGAGCCTAGCTTCACCCATGGGGCTGTAGCAAGACACACCCATGCACCCTCGAACCCAAGAAGGGTGGGGAAAGCTCTACCACATTTCTGTGACTGAGCGCCTAAGCACCCAGCCGGGGAGTATGACTCAGTCACATGTAAGGTTGGTCTCCCACATCCAGCCCTATCTGTCCTGCATCAGAATGACTGAGGCTGGCTGCAAATTTGTGGTCCTCCCACTTTAGCCTTCTGAGTTGCTGGGATTACAGATGTGTGCCACTGATTCAGCTTCACCATTCATTTAAAATTTTAAAAACATAAAGTAATATTAATTAATTTTGTTTTATCTGCTGAATATTAATATTACCCATCCTTTTACCTTTTAACGTTTTTATCAGTTTGCTTTTTTAGCTGTCTTTTGTAAACAATACGAATACTTTAACCTCATGTTTTTTAGTAGAATTTAACCCATTTACATTTATTAGAAATGACAAAATCTTCATCTCTGATTTTTATGCCTTCTGAGTTTTATTCACTGTTATTTTTTTGTTTTACTTTTTTCAATTGTTTTTGTTAATTTCTCTATTACTTAATACAATAGTGCCATTTATGTGTTTATTCATTCATTTATTTGTTTATAAAGGCATAGACAACAATTTATTTAAGAAAGTAGGTCTATATTCAAGGGAGAATGAGGGAAGTCCCAGGATATGCCTTTAGGGTAAAGCAAGGAGTAGATATTCAAGAGAGAATGTTTGCTCTCTCCAAAGGGGGAGAGAGCAACTCTGTGGTGTGTGGCCTCAGTGTTATAGAGATAGTTGTTGGGGTCGCTGTGACGACCCCAACACTAGAGGTGGATGCAGGGTGGAGCTACACAATATCATGCCAGTTTTCCCTGGACTTGAGCTTTGTCCTGTGTTACAAGGGTGTGGGTAAGGGCATGTGGATCAGGGGGTGGGCAATTGTTCCCAGGTACTTTTGCATCTCAGTGGTTCATGGGTTTTTCCTTTGAGACTCAGTATCTTTTTCTTTATTCTCAAATTCCTATCCCATTCGTACCTCTCAGACATTTATCCCTTTATCTTAAGGATTGTTGAGGGGTGAAGATTTATTTACTATGGGAACTTGAGACTGGCATGGGACAATGACCCTGCTTAGTGTAAAATGTTTCATTTTGACTTATCTAAAGGAGGTAGACATTGCTCTCAGCTGTGTGGATGGATTGTAATTCTTGGGTTGCCATCCACTTAATGTAGAATTTGTAATCTGGAAGATATAAACCCTGTCTCTAAGTAAGAATAAAAAGGGTTGTAGCTCAGTGATAGAGTGCCTGTGGGTTCAATCCCCAATGTGAGGCAGGGGGAGATTTCCTAAAAGCATTCTTTGAGAGCATTTCGCTAATGATTGGGGTCAAGAGTGAAACAGTATCATCTGACTGTATCCTTATCTGAAGTAAAGAAAGCTACCTTTTCCTTACTTTCAACCTTATCCTTTTTTTGCATCTTTGTTCATTTAATTTAGAATTTTCTGCCCCAGATTTTACCTTACTTTTATATTACATACACATTCAAGAATAGCTTTGGATATATTTAATTCTGCTGTAGAGCCAAGTCTACAATTATTTTGATATGTGTTTTAAGTCGCTTCAGAGCAAACTATCAGATTTTCTTTTTCTTAAATGTTGTACATAATAAGAAAGTACACAAATTCTCATTGTGTTTGATAATTTTCACAAACTGAACACATTCATAAAACCTGCACCTATATCAACAAACAAATTTTCCCAAATTTTCACTTTGATTTTTTTTTTTTTTTTTTTTTAACACAGCACGGTAATTGTTCTTGATCTTTGTTAAGATGAAATTGGGCAGTGCACACTGGTCTAACTTATTTAAACTCTAGGCTTTTGCAACTCATACTATTGTATATAACGAAAGAGCAGTTATTGTTGATTATACTTCACTGTGCAACTATCCTATACATCAGTGTTCCAGTGTGCTACTGATTGGCATGTGGATTCTTTCTATTAATGGGGTGTTATAATGTTGCCAAAGAAAACTCATACTTGTTTTTTGGACTGTAAATAAATATTGAAATCATTTTTTTGTTTTCATTGACAGGTGAAAATGTAATTAATTAAATCTGTAGAGATAGTCTTTTAACACTATTTTAATATTGTAAATAAACTTAGTGGAGAAATGCATTTGAATATGATATCTTAAATTCTAGGATATGAAAGATGGCAAGTCCAGATAGAAGTGAACGGAAAATATTAAAAGCCAAAAAAACAATGCCTACAAGTTGCCGGAAGCAAGTAGAGATCTTGAATAAGTCTAAGAATGTTGAAGCTCTGAGAACAGCAGAAATTGAGAGTAATGTTCCGAGTGGTAGTCAGAATTTAAGTACTGGGGTTTTAACTAGCAAGTGTAAACATTCTGAAAATGTTGATTCCTCACTCAATTCTAACAAAAATTCAGTGTTCTCACAGAAAAGTATAGTGGTTCCTAAGAATTTAGTAAAACCAGTAGAAGAAATTGTTGATTCAAAAACAAGACTGGAACATAATGATGAACAAGTTGTGTGTCATTACCAAAAGCCAAGAAGAACATTAGATTCTCCCAGCAGATTGTTTATACAAAGGGCAGAAGATTCCCAGAACACTTCTGAAACTCATCTTGAATACCAGACAAAAGTAGAAGGATCTTTTTTTGAACTGGAAGAGAATTATAATCTAAAACCTATTTGCTGCCCGCCCGACGTATTGAGTGATGTAGTTCAAAATACCTTGAATGATAAGAGAATCGATAAGATGGTTTCCAATTTAGAAGCAAACTCCAATTCAGAGTCACTTTATAAGAGGCAAAATGACATCTTAAGTCCAAACTCACATTTTCTGCCTGTTGAGAAAACATCTTGCATGGTAAATTTAGTTAATTCCTCCAGCTGTATTGCTGACATTTTGAAAACAGAAGAATCCAGTAGAACCTGTCATTCCAGCATTTCATATTGTGAAAGTACAGACTCAAAGTGGCAGTCATTACTCGACACTGATGGTAATAACAGTAAGTGTATATTTTTGCCTCTTTTATAGAAATTAATTTTTCTTTGGGGATTTTAAAACCTCAAATATACAAATAGGTGAGTTTGTATAGACTATATTTAAAGAAAAAGTGAATGATGACTATAATTATTTCAGAGTAACTTGTTTATGAACTCTTTTTTGGTGGGGAGGAGGAAGAGTATTGTGAAAAGAGACTATTTCAACAAATCTAGCTTTGCTGTTGCTAATTGGCTTTATTTCCAGTTCTTGAATTAGGCAGCAGTCAGGACCAAAAATGTTTCAAGAAGCTCTTTCCCACTACACAACAGGTTGTATTTATAGCCAAAGAAAAGGCAGCAACATACAGAAAAGGAAGTGAGGTACAAGAGTCAGCCTGATCTGATTGGTTATAGCTCATTTCCAGTTTTGATCAGGTGGCCACTTCTGCTTTCCAGACAGGTACTTTTTACATGAGTAGGTTGCAGAGTATTCAACACATCAAGTTAGGTTGTAATTCACTGCACATCCAAAAATGTTCAGGCCATCTTTTAACTACACAAGTGGCTTTAGACCAAAGTTGATTCATTTTAACTGTATATAAAGGAAGTTATTTTTGCTGGGTATGTTCTGCTGGGCGAGTTGGCTCAAGCCTGTAATCCCAGCGGTTTGGGAGACTGAGACAGGAGGATTGCAAGTTCAAAGCCAGCCTCAGCAATAGCGAGGCACTAAGCAACTCAATGAGATACTGTTTCTAAACAACATATAAAATAGGGCTGGGGATATGGCTCAGTGGTCAAGTGCCCGTGAGTTCAATCCCTGGTACCAAAAAAAAAAGGAAGTTACTCCTGACAAGGCAGGAATCACTTTCCTGTGAGAGCAAACAATCTGAAAACGTGGCTTATGGCAGTTGTTTGGTTCATTTCAATCATGTCTCTTGTTATTTTGAAGTTTTGTTTATTAGAAAGAGTGGATTTTCAAAATTGTTGATGAACTCATTTCCTTCCATGGACTTGGCCTGTGAATTACATGGTAGGTAAAAGATGATAGATAATGTTATATACACACATACATATATATGCTTGTATCTGTGTGTGGAGAGAGGAGAGAAACACCAAATAGTTAACAAATGAAGTCCTAGGTTGTAAAACTATTCAAACAGCAAAAGTAAACTTGAATATTTATGTTGGTTATTGAAATATAAGAAAATACTTATAGAATTTCGAGATTTTTTTTCTAGTCTCAGAGTAATAATTTAAAGGATGAATTTAAAATTGTTTAAAAATGATAGGTTCGCCTGTTAAAAAATATATAGCATTAAGTAATTGTAAAAGTAATGTAGGATCATTGAATTAGCTAAGCAAAGGATTAAATGATGTAGTTTGACTGGTTTTTGTTGGTATATGTGTATTACATAAGTCTGGAGTGGGAGTGTATCTGAGATCAGAACCATACTTTATCAAAATAGTCTTTTTTTTTTTTAAACAAGTTTGTGGGAACATTTTTATGCATCAAATTTTCTTAAAAATTTTGTTACATTTTAGTTTTTCCATTTGCTTAGAGTGTCCCCAAATTAGGGATTCCCATTTTCTTCTCAAGAAAGAATATTTTTATTTCTAATCTTTCCATCTCCCCAAGGCCATAATCAAAAGAAGAGGACGCTTTCAGAAAACAAAGAAAATGTTAAACGCATGAAAACTTCAGAGCCAATTAATGAAAACATTTGTGTAGCTCTGGAAAAGCAAACAGCACTACTGGAACAGGTAAAATATTGGGGTTTAAATATTTGCCTCAAAAACATTTTTTGATTAGTTAAAAAAAACATTAAATAAACACATTTTTAAAAATATTCAATGTTAACTAACTTCTCTCCACAGTGACATGGTACAGATGATTTTCACTTGATGCAAAGCTGGTGCATGAAAATCAAATGAGCAGACAGATAAATTATGTCCCTTACCAAAATATTTCTAGGTTCTTGAAAGTGGGGGAATTGTGTAGATAGTCTAGTTGTAGGAAAAAATTCTTTTTTAGTCAACCTTACAGTCAGATATGTGTGAGTCTGACATTGAACAATCTTGAACTCTGCGAAACAACGGGAGCTTTTCTGCTGGTTATGGGTTCCTTGGTGGCAGGTGGCTGTTTGTAGACTTCATCATGATTGTTCAGTTGAGATCAGACTGTCCAGAGTCCATTGCAGAGTTCTTCTGAATTCAGGTTCACTTACTGAGACTTCCACAGCAACGTGGATGTGCTGCTCTCATTTCTGCCCCACTCATCTCATTGTTTTGTGGCCTCCACACGTCTTCTCAGCTCTGAAATGAGGTTCATTGAGCTCCGATTCTGTGGCTGTAATGAGATCCTGTTTTGATGATCTGGCTTTGCTTTTTCACTATCACTGGCATCTTATCACTATCAGAAAGTATGTGGTAGAGCAGATGTTTCAGCCATAGTGAGCCAGAATTTTCCACACCACGTGATCGGTGTGTTTCGGGGGGGGGGGGGAATATATATTATATATTTTATCTCAATAAGCACTACTGCATTCTAAAACGGACCATCACAATTATATCGCTATATGTCCTAGGACCATGTATTACCTATTAAAGGAAAACTTTTTTAAAAGATTGATGCAGATCCAGCTTCAAAGGTAAGTTAGCAGTTTTCCTCTTTCTATCTCCTATTTTCTTCCAAGAAGATCAAAGTAGACACTAATTTTAAAAAGTATGCAATAGCTGGGCAAGGTGGTCCACTCCTAAAATCCCAGCTATTGGGAGTCTGATGCAGGAGGATCACAAGTTTGAGGCCAATGTAGACAACTTAGCAAGACCATGGATATACCTTAGTATCAAAGCACTTCTGGGCTCAAGCACCAGGAACACCAAAAGAAAAAAAAAGGTGATTGTTCTTTTGCTGGCAGAGAAGGGCAATCAAACCTAAGGACCATGTTATCAGGAAGAAGACTGGGGCTTCCCAGTGATGGGTGGCTGCATTCAGAAACAGTGGGAATGGACAAAATGTATCCTAGACTTTGGACATTTTAATTTCACTGGCATAGAGTTGTCAGTACCCTTGTCTACTTCACAAAACGGTTCTTCTCAGTGAGTTGAAGGCATCTGGTTTCTTTACATTCTCCAGAGAAAACTTGGATTTAGCAGTCCTCTTTTCCTAGGTCAAAACAGCTAGCTTTCCCCTCGTGTTATTCCTGTCCAGACATTTCTCTCTCTAAACCTGTCTCTATGTTTATCTTGTTTGAATCTCATAGATATAAAGCCTTCCCATCCTGACATTCTTTTTCCCTGTTGAGAGTCCTAGAGCTGTTGTCTCCTGAGATCTAGGAAGGATCTGGACCTAGCTGACTCTGTTAGGTTAGAGACTTGGAAGGTTTTTCCTCCAGAGTCTAACTGCACTCTTTAAAAAAGTGAGGGCAGATTGTAAATTTACATTTTCTACAAACTTGTGGCCAATGTGGTTGCCACTGCAGGTAGACCTTCCACCAGATTCCATAATGGTGCATACATTACCATTGGTACAACACATTTAATAGGCATTTTATGGAATCCATTGTGCCTTCCATCTGTATAATAAACATCACAAAGTGAGGACAAAAGTTCACTCTAAAAAGAATTACCCCTTAGTGGGCAAGTCATCAAGTTTAAGGGTCTCCCTCAGATAGAGGTTTTTTGAGCTCATTAATAGTTGAAGATCATTGTTTTCGCTTATGTAGCCAGGATGAATCATTGGTGGTGCCTGTTAATTGTACAACTTTCTAAGCCTCTTTCCAGGAGATTCTATTTGGATCCAGGATGAGGCCAAGTAGTTGTGATTTAAATATATATTCCACTTGATTCTTCCTTTCCAAGGAAGTTTTTCAGAAACACATGTTCAAAGCATTTAGATATGTTTCTCTTAAGATTTATCTGAGCATGACCTTCACATATTACCCCAGCCAATGAACTGGCAAGCACATAGTAACCCACACTGTCAGTAAAAATAGTATGTGTTTCTGAGAATTTTTTTTACAATTATATTTTGAGTGATATGTGTGTGGATAGACATATATATATACATACATATGTATGTGTACGTGTGTGTGTGTGTGTGTTTTTAGTAAGCACTACGGAAAAGACCAAGCAGACATAGACAATGTTGAATATTGAAAATAAAAACGAAAAATCTTGGAAATAATCAAATAACATTATAGACTAAAACTAATCATCAGGTGAATAGCAATATAAAAGAATTCAACCTGTGAACTATGCATTTCAGTTGAGCACCATGTAGCAAGATATTGGGGGCAAGATATAATTATCGCTAATAAACACCTTAAATGTATCGTGACTGGTGTCTTTATTAAGAGAGTCTACCTACTTTGTAATGAAATTTGTTTACAGGAGAATATACACTGAAAAACTGCAGTGTTTGTGAATGTATTGTGCAGATCAGTGGCCATTGAGATTAATTATGCGTCCTGAAAATAGGCCAATCTATTTTTTTTTATTGAAAGTGCAGATTATATAAAGTGCATTAATCTTTCATGTAATAGCTACTACAAAGTGTTAGAATAGCATTCATTTTTCCAGATAGTGTGAGTCATTGCATATTTGTCCCTGGCTTTTTTCCATTTTATCATAACAAAGCTATCCCCTAAAATACTATGGAAATAATGGTGAATTTTTTGCATATTTATTCTCTCATTTCAATATGGAACTACTTCACATGTTATCTTATTTTGTTCCTATAAAATCCTTTAAGTATCCCTTATTCAGCAAACATTTTTCTATGTCCTCTATCCATTTTGGACAGAGAAAACGAAGCCCAGAGGTGTTGTGACTTGTCAAAGACCATATGGCTTGTTAATCATAGGGTCAAGTTTCAAACTTGGGCAATTTGTTCTGTATCTACTGTAGACCACCCAACCATTTTCATCAGGCTCTGGTTTTCAGATAAGTAGAGCTGCTTTTTATGGACTACGAACTTGTAAGTTTGATAATTAAAAATCTAAATGGAGCCGGGTGCTGAGGCACAAGATCTTGAGTTCAGAGCCAGCCTCAGCAAAATCGAGGCGCCAAGAAACTCTTTGAGACCCTGTCTTAGGACTGGGGATGTGGCTTCATGGTCGAGTGCCCCTGAGTTCAATTCTTGGTCCCCCCAACCTCCGAAAAAGTGTTTGTGTGTGTGTGTGTGTGTGTAATATAGCTCTGTAATTGTTTCTACAATGGATATTATAGAATAATAATCAACTGGAACTACAAGAAGCTAAAATTAGCAATTTGAGAATAAATTTAATTTCTAACACCTTTATATATTGTATATGGTATTTTTTTATTCTAATTAGTTATACATGACAGTAGAGTGCTGGATATGTTCTATTGAGATTAATATTCAAGTTTTATATAACTTATTGCTACAGTAATATAAATGGAAACATTAAAAAGTTAATCTAGAAAAAGAGCAAAGCTATTTTTAAAAAGTAAAAAAGTTATTTGAAATTTGAAATCTGAGATGTTTTTGTTTTTATTTTAAAATTCTAGGTCAGACATTTGATTCGTCATGAGATATGTAGTATAAATCACAAACTATTTGATAAAAAACTGAAAGAATTGAACGAACGCATTGGGAAGATGCAGTGCAGGAATAAGCATGAAGCAACAGCTGATGAACTCTTCGTAAGTTTTATTTCATTTGAGTCCTTTTAAAACAGTGAAATTTGGTGCTCTTATGTGTTAGAAAAGGCAAACAGTGAAGGAAGAAGACCCAAATTTGATTCCTGGCCACAAGCCTATTTAGGACTATGGCATACAAAAGATGAAAGAACTTATACTTTTCAGCAGTATTGGCCTTGGAGAAGTACTCAGAGCATCAACATCCTGGGTTGCTTTATGGCTTAGTTCTTGGGCACTGTTTCTTTTCATTTTAAGTATGTTCTGTGTTAGAGTTAAACAGCCTATTTCATCCTCTTGGAATCCCCCCGCCCCAGGGTCACTTGCTGATTGGTGTTTTTATCAGCATCAGTTTTATAGTGGACCAGTGAAAAGACTGATTGTTGGGAGTCTCCCTGGCTCCAAAGACTAACTTCCTCATCCCCCCCAGAAGAGCCACCCAGTGGTGAGCCCTGCTGACTCACATGATCCTTACCCACCAATCAGAAGTCACCCCGTGCCAACTGTCAAACCATTAAACCGTTAAAACTGTCATAACTGTCAAACCACCCCCTGCTCTATAAATATGCAGAGCTGTTCCTCAGTAATCCGGCACTTGTTCTGAACCTGGGAGGGGGAATGCCTCACTGCTCGAGGGCCCCTCTCTCAAGGCTGGCCGTCCTCATCCACTCTTTTGAGCGCTGCTACTCGCACAACAGCGGCTCTTCAATAGGTGAGTTCCCCAACCTCAGATGGGCTATGCGGGGGCTTTGACTGTGAACGTCCAGCAAAACTCTGACGCCCAATCTGGAACCCAGTCTGGAACCCAGTCGCAATTCTCAGAGATCTGTTTAACTTCTGCAAGCACTCGAAAAAGTGGAAGGAGATCCCCTATGTTGAGGCTTCTTCTCTTCTTCGTTCTCACCCCGACCTATCCGGTAGATGAACCCCCTTCCCTACCGACTCCCCCGTCGGTTCTGTCCAGCCCCTCAGGTGCTCCCCCTGACTAGGCCGACACCTTTAGTCCCCCCAGACTAGGTCCCGCTCCCTAGTCCTACAAACCAGTGCCCCCTTAAGAGAGGTTGCTGGACCTGAGGGCATTCTCTGGGTAGTGACCTCACACAGCCCGAGCGAAGGTTGGGCTCATTCACCACAGATCCTACCACTTACATAAGAGAGTTTCAATGGGTCCTCCAGGCTTATAGCCTCACTCACCATGAGATATATATGTTATTGGCTAATAGTCTCCTTCCTGAGGAACGTACCAGAGTCTGGGAACTTGCCAGAGCCCATGCGGATGAAACTCACCAAGTTAATTCCAATCACCCTCTGGGGCCACTTGCTGCCCCAGATCAAACTCCCGACTGGGATTATGATACACAAGCTGGCATACAGAGTAGGGACCGATTCTCTGCATTTATTATTGCTGGGCTCAAAACAGCGGCATGTAAAGCCATCAGTTTCCAAAAATTACAAGAGATTATTCAAAAGCGAGAGGAGACCCATTGGAATTTCTGCTTTGGCTTACAAAAGCCCTTCAGCAGTATACTAACCTAGATCCCGAAACCCCAGATGGCCATCATGTCATTATGACATATCTCCTCTCGCAGAGCTACCCTGACAGCCGGGCCAACTAAAAAAGCTCAAACAGGGCGCTGCCACCCCCAAGACTGAGCTCTTGGCGGTAGCCTTTCAGGCTTCTCACAAGGCTGAACACAGTGATTTCAGATGCTCACCCAGGCCCTGAAGGGTGCTTCCTCGGGTTGCCGCCCCTCACAGCAGGTCAAACCCCACCCCACCCCCGCGCACCTGCTTCAAGTGTGGCAATGAGGGACGTTGGGCCAGGGCATGCCCCGCACCAGGCATTCCCGCGTACCCCATGCCCTAAATCAACAACATGGTCATTGGGGCTCTGAGTATCCTAGATCCCGTAGGAGGCCTATGGCCAGGGAACCCTCTGACCTTCTGGGCATGTCAATCAATTGACGGAACCTTGGGTCATAGCCCCCAACCGTAATGATCAATAGACAGGAACCCTGGGTGTGGATTCAGGTGGATGGATGCAAGTTTGACTTTCTCCTTGACACCGGGGCTCGGACCAATTCCATGATACCAGGGGATAACTAAATAAGAACTTCTTATTTGATTATATGCCTAAGTCTCAGAAGACTACTTTGAATGATTTTTCTATATATTATCTTAGCTCTTTGGTTTGGTATTTACTTATTTTTCTTTCTTCCAGGCAAAAATAACAAGACTTCAAAGACGTATTAGAACAGTATTATTATCTCAAAGGAAAGCTTTGGAACCAAACACATTATCTAATAATTTAGCCTGTCAGGTTGGTATAAACACACAGGAGTTTTAATAACCTAGATGACTCCTATAAGTATTTGGACTGTAAGAAATGAATTTATTTCCTAACTTGGACATAGATTAATTTATACTTAGAATGTTCTTATGAATTGTCACTTGCATTTCTTTAGTTTGAAAAGGGTCCATATATACAGCAAAGTTGAAAGAATTTTACAGTGAGTATTCATATACTGAACACCTAGATTTTGCTAACTTAGTCTTGTCATATATATTCATCCCCAGTAAGCCAGGTATATTTGATACTTTCAGAATGCCAATATATTTTGTATCAAAATAAACTTTGAAACATACATTTCAAAATATTACATATAAAATGATTAAGTACAATTTAGTGGCTGTTTTTGTGTGTATTTATTTGGGGAGCAGATACTAGGAATTGAGTCCAAAGGAGGCTTTACACTGAGCCACATCCCAGCTCTTTCAGTTTTTATTTAGAGGCAGAGTTCATTAAGTTGCTTAGTGCTTAATGAACTAAGTGCTGAGGCTAGCCTCAGCCTCCCAACATGTTTGTACCACCGTGCCCAGCTAGCTGTTTATATTTTATATACAACTTATAATTTGTGCATGTACCCTGAATTATTTTTTTTTTATAATGTATGTTAGTATTTGGCTTCATTTCTGATATGGTTAATCTGCTTTTTTTCTTGACGAGTCTAGAGCTTTTGGAGTTTTACTCTTTCATTTTTCTCATTGATTTCTGTTCTTCATTCTTTCTTTACATACATTAGATTTCTGCCCTTTTTTTGTGTGGGCATGTGTGGTACTGGGAGTTGAACCCAGGGGTGCTCTACCATTGAGCTACATCCCCAGACATTTTTTTATATTTTTATTTTGAGTTAAGATCTCACTAAGTTTCTGAGACTAGCCTTGAACTTTCTGTCCTCCTACGTTCAGCCTCCTGAGTGGCGAGGATGGTAAGTGTGCACCACTGCAGCCTGCTTAGGGGATTGTTTTTTTATATATAAGGTCAGGGTGTAGCTGAATAGTCTACAGTTGTCGTGGGGAACCAAAGTTGTACGCAGTGGACTTTGATGTTTTTTTAAAGTTGGACCCAGCACATGTATTCATTTACTTATGTGGTGCTGAGGATCAAACTCAGTACCTCACACGTGCTAGGCAAGCAATCTACCACTGAGCCAAAACCCCAGCCCCCTGGACTTGGATTTTTATTAGGTTGACAAGATTTCTGAGCAAGTGTTGAAGGAAAGTTTTGTGTATTTCTTCTTGCTTCTATTAAAGTACAACATGAAAGAAACAATTGTAAGGAGAAAGTGCTGCACACTGGAAAATTTTCAACCTATCCAGATCGCAACAGATCCTAAAATTAGGAAGTTTATTGGCAAAAAAGCATGCTCTGAAGAAAAAACCAAGGACATGGTTGGACAACCTTTTGCTTTTCCCAGAGGAGCAAAACGTGACAGTGTTCAGCCAAACCAAGGGCTCTTTGAAGAGATGTGCCATGTAACTTTTCAGCCAAACCAAGGGTTCTTTGAAGAGATGTGGCATGTAACTTTTCAGTAGGCAGTTCCCTTTTAGGTTTAGTGAGTAGGTCCTGCTCTCCTCTCTTAAGCTGTATTTCAGTTAACAGTGTTTTTTTCCCAGAGATTTTGTGTGCTGTTTGCGTTGCCTTCATTCCTGTGGCTCCCCTGGGTGTCTGTTCATTTCGTACGGGTTCCCAGTGCTGTTGGATGGAAGTTCAGGAGATGTTGGCCCATGGACCCTGTCAGGCAGTGCCCTGGGCGTGCTGTTGCCTGGGCGGGGAGCAGGGGTGATGTTGGTGTGTGAGTAGTGCAGGCCCTATTACTGTCCCTCGTGTGGAGTGCTGACCATCCAGACATTGAAGTGGATTGGGCCACCTTTTCCTGATTTGTAATGTTGTTTAAAACTACTCTTTACATAAAGTCTGTTCATTTAATAACAATAATATTGCAGAATTGTGCTTTAGTGTATCTGCATTTTTTGTGTGCATACTGTACCAGAGAATGGTTCCTGAGTTAGACAATCAGTTGATCCTTTCCTATTGGGTAATATGCAGACATATGATAAATGCTGCAAGTTCTCAAGCCAGAACGCAGACTAAATGTTTCAACTCCAAGTTTTAAACATATTCACCACTTGGAAAAGTGAGTTTGCAATCTGATTTATTTCTGGTCTTTATTAGAAATATGGCAGTAGTAAAAATTTATTTTTTTTAGTTTCTAAAACTTCAGCTGGTAGAAATAAAATGTTGTCTACAGTACCTAAGTATTTAATATCCCTCCTTGTCATCCAACCTAGGAAGTTGAATGCTGTATGGTAACATTATCCTTATTTCCTTGAAGTTTTGTTTTTTTTTCCCTCAACGTTTTTAAAAGTTTATTTTGGCAGAAAAATCACAATCGTGGTCATCAGTTGTTGAAATACAGATTATCTAATACGTTTTGCCATGTGAGAATATTTTGAAAATAGTTTTAAGTGAAATTTTGACTGACATAAATTTTATCCACTCCTCAACTGTTTTTTCCTCACCCATTTAACAGATCACAAATTCAGAGACCATGAATTTTGGTAGGAATCAAGAATCAATTAATAATCCAAACGAAAGAGTAACTTCAGTGAACTCTGAATCTTCTAACCCCTTCAAGAAAGCAAATGAAAACATTAATTTGTCACCAGATTGTGTTGAGTTTGTTTCTGAAAGGTAGGTGTTTCTACAAAAATGAGCAAACTTTCTTGTCTAAACAAATACTTTGTAAAAATATACCCTTTTCTCAATTAAGCATAAAATAACTTGTAACTTCATACATGAAGACTTTGTCCATTATGAAAGAACAGGATTGGTCTCGACTTAGAATTGGTTTGGCTCTTCTGTGTCTTTTATTCTTCCAAATGAATTTTAAGACTGTTTTTTCTAGTTCCTTGAAGGATGCCATTGGTATTGTGATCGGGATTACACTGAATCGGGGTGTTGATTGTATAACGTGAGCATTTTAACAATCCTGCCTATTCATGAACATGGGACGCCTTTTCATGTTTGTGTCTTCTTCAGTCCCTTTCTTCAGTGTTCTATAGAGATCTGTCACCTCCTCGGGTAGATTTCATTCCCAGGTGTTTTTATTTTTTTGAGGCTATTGTAAATAGTATTTTTTTCTTGATTTCTTTCTCGCACTTTTGTGTATGGAAAAGCTTTTGATACTTGTATGTTGGTTTCGTAACCTGATATTTTGCTGAATTTGTTTATTAGCTCTAGAAGTCTTGCTTTTTGGATCTTCTCTGTAATTTTTATTTGAAATATTAAATTTTAAATCTTTGAAGAACACCACTTTTTCCAACTAATTGCTATTCATATTTAAGGTTGCTATAAAACAAAGGAGAATGGCTGGGGTTGTGGCTCAGTGGTAGAGCGCTTGCCTAGTATGTGTGAGGCACTGGTGTTTGAGTCTCAGCACCATATGTAAATAAATAAAGTCCATTGACAAGATAAAAAAAAATATTAAACAAAGGAGAAAAACAAATACCATTACTGACAGCACTAATTCACTTCTAGGGCATCAGAAAACAACAATTATATAAACTCCTGGCTTGGGCCGGGGTCGTGGCTCAGTGGTAAAGCGCTTGCCTAGCACGAGCGAGGCCCTGGGTTCAATCCTCAGCACCACATAAAAATAAATGAATAAAATAAAGGTACTGTGTCCAACTACAACTACAAAATAACTATTTAAAAAAATAAAATAAAATGTCCTGGCTTTCTCTAGCATCAGGATAATAATGAGGAACCATGCATTTCTTTTTTCACTTTCTTTTTAAAGAATTCCTTTATTTCTTAAATCCTTTAAGAAATAAGTTATGTGTGTGCAAAGTGTATGAACTGATATGTAGAAAAACTATGATGGAGGCTTCACACTCCAACAACTTTGAAAAGCTGTATTTAGAATCATTTTTTTTTTTTTCCCAGTAAGGAAAGAAAAAAAAATTTTAAATCATCCTGGTTTCTGAAAGCCAGGAGGTTTTAAAATTGTTGATTTCTGATGCCCTAGAATTGAATCAGAGGTGTTAGTAATGATATTTGTTTTTATGGTATCTTTTAGATTTAGAAGTTTGAGCACTTTTCATTTTATAATGTGAAGAAAATTGAAAAGACAGTAACAACTGACCTGTAGAAGCTTGTAGAACAGAAGGCTTATGACTGTAATATCTATTTGATAAAGAAGAATCTTGCTTAAAAATAGGACAAGAAGGGCTTTATGTACAGTCCTTTCCAAAAATGAAGATAAAACATGAAGGATTACAGTACCCAAGAACAGACCACTTAACAAATGCTGATTAAACAAAATGTCAATACTGCCCAAAATGTCTTAGATTGAATTTCATATGAATAAGTGTTTACAGAGACACAAAGGGGGAAAACAAGTTACTGGCTAATAGTAGTCTAGAGAAATGGGCATGTGTTTCATCCTACTTATTCTTTGTTGAAATTCATCTCATCTTAATAATAAATTTATGTCTTTTCTAGTCAAAGCCAGAGCAGAGTTTTTGCTCCAAAATACTCAGCTAGTAAATGGCATAATCAGAACTTAGATCCAGCCATTGTCTCCAGAATTCATCATTCTTTTTTTTTTTTTAAAGAGAGAGAGAGAGAGAGAATTTTTAATATTTATTTTTTAGTTTTCGTTGGACACAACATCTTTGTGTATGGTGCTGAGGATCGAACCCGGGCCGCATGCATGCCAGGCGAGTGTGCTACCGCTTGAGCCACATCCCCAGCCCCAAGAACTCAGCATTCTTAACTGCTCTATCATTACCTGAATTATTAATTTTATATGCAAAAATTTTCTCCAGATAAAATCTAAGCAGAAATCATGAATAGACTTCACTTTTCAGAAGGCTCAGGAGATCACAAGTTTGAGTCCAGCCTTGACAACTTAGTGAGACCCTGTCTCCAAATAAAATCAATAGGGCCAGGGATGTTCCTAGGGTAGCGAACTTGCCTAGCCTGTATGAGGTCCTGTGTTGATTCTCAGCATCGGGAAAATCATTTCACACATTTGCACTACGATGACAATCATCAGTTTATCCAATTTCCTTCCAATATGGTCTATGAAAAAAGAGATGTTGTTAGTAGGAGTGAGTAGAGCAGTTTCATAAAAGTTGCATATCATTAAGTGAATTAAAGTGAGATACCAAAAGTCCTTTCATTTTCAGATTTATGGATGGATTTCTTAGGATAAGCATTAATAGCTTTATAGATTCAACTGTCATAACTATATAGGCAGCCACCTCCTCTGTTTCATTGTTTCTGCCTGCTTTTCACAGTTACATATGTGGAATCAGACTTGGGCAACTTTTGTGTGTTGTTGCTTTTGCCTACATTGTTTTGTGAGACCCACCCGCTGTTGCCTGGCAGCAGTAGTTTGCTCGTTCTCGTGGATGTCTTATGTACGTTATATCATATGCCACAATCAACCCATTCTGTCCATGGGCACTGGAATTGCTTTCAGGTGGGGAAATTATAAGCAGTGGTGCTACAAACATTATTTTGCATGTCTTTTCATGAATACACATATATACACACATCGGACATATTCATGGAGGCTAGGGGATACATGTATTTCTAGATTAAATAGATATTACAACCAAAGCAGTTGCATCAAGTTGTACTCCCACAGCAGGTGTGTGCGATTTTTGTTACCACATGTTCTTGCCAACACTTGGTATTATCTGTCTCTGATTTTAGATATCCTACTGAATGGTATCATAATAAGGTTTTAGTTTGTTTTTCCTTCTAAGAATGAAGCCAAGTACACAGTCTCATATTTGTTAGCCACTTGTATGTCCCTCATGAAGTGTAAGACCTGGGATTGAACCTAGGGCTTTTTGCATGCTAGGCAAGCTCTCTACCACTGAGCTACATCCCCACCCCTTTTTATTTTGAGACAGGGCTTTACTAAGTTGTTCAGGCTGGCCTTGAACTTCTAATCTTCCTGCCTTAGCCTCAGTAGTTGGGATTGTAAGTATGTACCACCATACCTGGCTTCCCTCCATTTTCTTAATACTGGTAATCATAGTTATTTGAATGCCTTTGTTTTATAACTTCCGTATTTGGATCACCTGTGTATCTGTTTCTATTCTTTTTCTGTCAATTTCCAGTCATTTAGTCTGTCTGTTGGCATATTGATAATCCCTGAAAAATTGTTAAGGCTCTAAATAATATTATTTTGGTGTACACACATTCATCCTTTCTTCTGCTTGTCAGATAAACTGGTCTAATCCCCTCATCTGTTGAAGAGTAGTGTGACTTGAGGCTTGTTGTGATCTGAGTATGTCTCTTCCTCTTTCTCATTCTCCATGGTTCCTGAGACTTGGCCTTTTTTTTTTTTAAACCATTTTTTTTAAGAGAGAGAGAGAAGCTTTTAATATTTAATTTTCAGTATTCGGTGGACACAACATCTTTATTTTTATGTGGTGCTGAGGATCAAACCAGCGCCCCACGCATGCCAGGCGAGCGCGTTACTGCTTGAGCCACCTCCCCAGCCGGAGACTTGGTCTTTCACAGATTCCCCCTGAAAGCTTGGCGGTTCACCGCGACTCCCTGACCTTCATGGGTGTCAGTGTTGATACTTAGCTCCTACATACAGCGTCTTTCTGCCTTTAGTTTCTCATACACCTAAATAGCATTATAGTTGAAGTACTATATTACCAAGTAAAGAAAACTTTACTGAAGAATTTTGAGATGGATAAGGGATTTTGACTATAGTGTAATGAATCTCTGAGAAGATCTACTTGAAATTTAGATAAGAATGTTAATTTTCTTTCTTACAAATAATAGTAAACACTAGAATCCCTCATTGATAAATTAGACATAAAATTGTTAAGTCCACATTTTAAAATGTGCATAAAAACAGTTCATTTCACAGAATGAAAATAAATATGTAGAAAGTTCTGCTTCTGCCCATGAAACATTATGGTAAAAGCTCAGTTCCTGTACCTGTTAAATACCTTGAAAAGCAGTCTAAAAACGGGGAGTCTGTGGGGACACACTGTCCAGTAGGGACCTCAGGGCAACAGTGAGGAACCCTACACAGGCCTACTGCCTGGAGGCTCTTTCCAGGGGGAAGAGCAGAGAGGGGAGTCACACAGAGCTGGGTGGTCCTGCTGAGGTCCACCAGAGACGGAGAGTTGGTAGAATTTGTGGCTTAGAACAGCCAAGAGAAGAAAGTGCGAAGACAGCGCTCTGAAGGTCCATGAAGGACATTTCTTGAATCATTGCCTAAAAATGGATCCATGTACATAAGACGGAAGCAACCTGAGGCCAAAGAGAGAACCACTGGAAAGAAGACCAAACAATTTCTGAAAGTCCAATATTTTGATTTCCCACTAAGATGAATAGACTTAAGAAGCCATTGGTAAAGTCCAGAGATGGCTATGTCTCAGTGGGGCTAAGTTAGTCCTAGACTAAAGACTGCAAAGGACCTCACACTAAAAAGCTAAAAGCAAGTTTCAAAAGATTCACCATAATCCCCCAAAGTTTAATTGCCTGCCAGAAGAAAATCCAGTGCTGAGGAATGAAACAACATCCCCCGCTCAATAGCACACAGCTACTAAAAACATGGCCAGGAATGCAAAGCTGCAGAAGTGGGACCCATTAACAAGCAGGAACATGAGTGACCGACCTGAGCCACTGCACATGGTGGATTGAGCAGACAGACAGCGCCACAGCAGAGCCCTCAGTTTGCTCTCCACACTCGACAGTGTAGAGGGGAACGTGAAGATGTGAGAAATGGACGAAAGACACAGAACCCAGCCGAACTCTCAGAAATGAAAAAGACAGTGAGTCAAAAAGTAGACTGGATAGAATTAACATCAGAGTAGTTAATTATTGTTTCTAAAAATCAATGAAATAGGAATGGAAACTGTAGCTCAGTGGTAGAGCACTCATCTGGCACATGTGAGGCCTTAGGTTTGTTCCCCAGCACCACATAAATATAAATGAAATAAAGGTATTGTGTCCAACTACACCAAAAAATAAATATTAAAAATAAAATGTTTATATCCAGCAAAAATAGAAGCATAGGGGAAAAACAGACATTTTTAAACTAAAAAAGTTGGGAGAATAGATCATCAGCAGCCCTGGACTAATGGAAATTTTAAAGGAAAGTTCTTCAGGCAGTAGGAAAATAGTACTGGAGAGAAATTTAAATCTATGTAAAGTAATGTAAACTTCCAGAAATAGTAAATATGGGTAAGTAAAAGTATCTTTCTGTTTCTATATATGTATTTCTCTCAAGTATTTCTTTATACAGACAATTAACAATGGGGATTTAGAATATCATCAAAGAATGTGATATACTTGGTAAACCAAAATATGTATAAAACCTAACTTAAGACTACAAAGTGGGCTGGGGATGTTGCCTACTGGTAGAGTGCTTGCCTACCATGTGCAAGAGAGGCCCAGAGACTATAAAATATTGCTGAAAATTTTTAAGGAGATGTAAACAACTGGTGGGATATACTACATTTTTTGAATCATTATTAAGAGAATCCATTATAAAGATGATACTCCCACCCACCACAAGTTGTTCTGTACATTGAATGCAATCCAAAACTCCCAGGAACCTTTATTCTATAAAGTAACAAACTGGTTAAAAACATACATGAAAATGCAAAAACCCAGATGAGTAACAGTGTTATTAAAAAAAAAGTTGGAAGACTCAACTACCTGAGTTCCTGACCTGCTGTAAAGCTGCAGTATTTAGACAGCGGTATTGGTCTAGGCTAAGTTTGTAAATCAACAGACAGACTGAAGAACACATACAGATGTCATCCGTTGGTTTAGTGGAAAGGTGTCAAGAGAATAGGGAAAAGATTTTATTTTCCACAGATATGTCTGGATAACGAGGGGGGACAGAATAAACCTCAACTCTTCACACCATATATAAAAATTAACTTAAAATGAATTCTAGACCTAAACACAAATGTTAAAAATACAAGACATGTACAAGAGAATGGTATAATTCTGCTGGAAAATTCCTTTAGCATTTAATTAACTTAATGCAATTTGCCTCAAGGTTTTCTTAAGAAAATTCTGATGTAAAATGTGGAACTCATAAAATTGGAGTGAAAAGGGCAGAAAAAGATGTTCTGGCTGAGATATTCTCTAACCATAAACATCAGTCACTATCCTTGCCTGAGTTTAGAACATTTTTTGGTAAATTATGGCTTAATATAGAGTTGTTGCTGTTATTTTTAAAATAATATTATTTATTATAGTCCTGCATCTTCAAAAGTCTGAAGTGTCTTTATGAGTCTTAATGGGGTTCGTTTAGTTGTGTGTTTTCATTTTTAAGAAAGTACCTACATGTCTAGAGTGATAATTACATATTCATGTAGAGACTATCTTTATGTAGTCTACTTATATATATATATATATATTTGGAGTCATTTTGAAAAGATCTCAAAAGTTTATTTGTTCAACCCAAGGGCACTTAACCACTGAGCCACATCCCCAAACCTTTTTTATTTAGAGGCAGGGTCTCACTGAGCTGCTAGACCCATAAAACTTATTATAGGTCTATTGTATTGAAGTTCTATGTCCTTTTGTTTATATAAATGAATTGGAAATCTTGGGTTCCTTAAGTATTTCATTTTTATCTCCTCCATCCAATGGTTGGTCACTTAAAACATGTTATGAAATAATAACTTAAAGGAATTCTAACCACTAATTGCATGCTTAAGCCTGGTAATGCATGTTTAGTTTATTTTTAATTTTTTTATCATTTTAGTAACAATGATGATGTTATGTTGATTTCTGTGGAAAGTCCTAATTTGACAACTCCAGTTACATCAAATCCAACAGGTATCTTAACATGATTAGAATATGATCTATCAAATTAGAAAGCTTAAAATAGATATTTGTTTAAAATAAAGAACTGAATAATACCTTTTTCTAAAATAAAAAATGTGTCTACTCTGGAAATGTTTTGATTTCTGTGATTAATAATAAATAAATACATGATTCTTTAATTTAATTGATGTTTCTTTTTAATCTTGTATTTTATCAATTTCTATCCTTTTGTTTCTTTACTGTGTTTATCTAATTATTTTCAAGTTTAAAAATTACATATAATTTTTTAAATCATTTGCCTTGACCTTCTGTTGGTGCTGGTGGTTTCTTGCCTTTTTACCTATTAAGTTGTCTTACACTTTATTTTACATTTAAAGTTTGTCAGCTTTGTTTTTTAACTTTTTTGTTTTTTAACACTTTTTTATTAGTTTAAATTTCTCTAAACATAGCCATATTTTTCAGCCCATAAGTTCTTATCCAAAATTCCTGTTTTTACTTTATTAGACTAGTGAATCTTAATTTAAAAAAACTTTGCCTCCATTTATGAAGCTACTTAATTGTGTCCACAGTTTGTAAATCAAAGAGCTACAAAAGATGCTAAGTATTATAATTGAGTCTTCCAACTGGTTCCAGGAAGAATGCCTTTCAGCCATCTGGGCAATCTATTTTAACAATATCATGAATTTAAAAACAGTTGCAGCTGAGTGTGGTGGCACACACCTGTAATCCCAGCTCCTTGGTAGGCTGAGACAGGAAGATGGCAAGTTCCAGGCCAGCCTGGACAAAATTAAAAATCTGTAAAGATTTTTAGGGTCTGGGGTGTAGCGAGCTCTCGCATAACTTGTGTATGAGGTTCTGGGTTCGATCCCCAGTGTTAAACAATAAATAGTTACATAGTCAAGTGTAGGGTTTCAAATGCTGAAATAATTTTCAGAGCTACTATTATGTTGTAGAGTTACAGAAAGAAAAGATTCTTTTAACACCCAATTAACTTTTTTAACTAGATTATCAGTTTTGGGAATAGGTAAAGTCAATACTTACTTTTTATGATTACTTAATTAAAAGTTAATCCGTCTCCCCATTATTATTGTTTCATAATTCACATATTACAAAGATACATGTGTAATAGTTTAAAAATATAATAATTTTCTTTCAGATATTAGAAAAACAGCATCAAGAAATTTCAACAATTCACCTAATGCTACACCAGAAGTCAGGGTAGGTAATAATCATTGTCTTAGATTATTCACTTAAATTATAATTTGTTCTAGGATCTTCAGTGTTGCTCTGTGTTGGATACCTTAGTGTTTGTCATTGATTCTTGTGCAAAGTTGATGGGAATGTGGTAGTATATCCCATGTACCCTCCCCCTACACCACCTCCACGTGTGTGTGTGTGTGTGTGTGTGTGTGTGTATGAGAGAGAGAGAGAAAGAAAGACAGACACACAAATCAATATCCAAGTAGTTCTTATAGTCAGGTTCCAGGCCAGCTTGTACTTTGTATTAGTGTCTAACTAACTAGCCTAACCAGGTTCCAGTACAGCTCACACACTGAATAACAGACGGCTAGTGATAAACATATTTCCTGACCATACCCATTTACCCATTTACCAGTGCATGTGGATTCTTAATCATATTCTCAGAAACCATGCAGTATTTTATAAGGGCTTCTCTTTTATTGTGTATTTAAGTTAAACCATAAGAAACTCAGAGAATGTTCAGTTTCTTGCTTCTAGATGATAATTTAGGTCTTTGGGTACACCTCATCGTAGGTGTACCCAACATGCCCAGACCTTTCCATCTCCTGCACTGCCAAAAGGTGGGGAAACATTAGTTTAAAATTTTGTTTGATCTTTTAAAAATGATTCTCTGCTTTTAAAGCAAAACCTTACTTATTTTTTTTAACAATGACTTTTCAGAGTGTAAAGAAGAAACTTGATTTTGTTATTGATTTGACCAAAGAAGCCCTGTCCAACTTCAACACAGGTAAAGGTTTTTTGTTTTTCTTAAGAAAGTGGGAAGCATAACTCAAAATGTCCTTTTGAAACTTATGAAGTTTGTTTTAGTGTGTTAATGTACATATATTTGTAGTTTTATACAGTTTATCACATGTGTAGATTTGTATAATTGTCACCATCAGACTTCCTCATGGTCCTTTTTATAGTCACACCTGCCTCTTGCCCATAGTCCCTAACCCTGGCAACCACTTCATGACTGTAATTGTCTTTTCACAAATGTTATGAAAATATGGTAGAATCTATGTCCTTCTGAGACTGACTTCGACTTAGCACAGTTCCCTCTTGAGTGCTGCTCATGTTGTTGTATATCGGTAGTGTGTTCCTTCTGTGGCCAAGTAGTAGCCCATGACATGGGTGTATCACAGCTTGTTCATCCATCCACCCTTTGAAAGACATCTGCGTTGTTGGCGGCCATTATGGATCTCTTCTCCTCATGGCACATACCTTTTCCCTGACCCTGACAGCAGGGGTTGGAAAGACATAACACAACAGGAAATGAATGTGGAAACTTAGGGAGAGTGACAGCAGTGCCCTTTTTCTCCAGCTTAAGCAAAAAAAAGTGAATCTGGGCTGGGAATTATTATTTATTTTAGTAAGCATGAGTCACAAGCCCAGGAAGTTCCAAGGAAGATAAACATCAAGAAAACCATACCACTGAGCCCGGGGACACAGGCCTGTAATCCCAGCCGCTCAAGGCTGAGACAGGAGATTAAGCATTCAAAGCCAGCCTCAGCAAAATGAGGTGCCAAGCAACACAGTGAGACCCTGTCTCTAAATAAAATCAAATGGCATCATTAAAAGACCAGGGAAAATCACTGTCCACTTGAAATTCTGTATCTAGCATGTATCTTTCAAAAATTGAAGGAAACTTAAGTTTGTGTGTGTGTTCATTTATAGATCGACACAGTACATTATTTTATTTATTTATATGTGGTGCTGAGGATCGAACCCAGTGCCTCACACGTGCCAGGCGAGCCCTCTACCACTGAGCCCCAGCCCCAGCTCAAGTTGACTAAAATATGTGGCCAGCAGATTTTCACTATCAGAAATAAAATTCTCCAAGTAAAAAGAAAATTATATGAGATGGAAAGTGGAGCTATGCTAAGAAATGTAACACCATTTTGTGGAGTTCTATCATATATGCCGAGGTTAATATATGATAACCACAGCGCAAAAGACTGCTAGAGGCGTGCGGGGTGCTGGGTGAAGGCCGAGCACTATGTGAGTGGAACCGAGTTACTTAAAGATGGATTATGATTTAAGATACATATGGTAATGCCTAGAGTAGCAGAGCAAATAACCCAACAGTGGAGATCGAGTTCTAAAGTAAGAGAAGCCACAAAAAAGCATACAAAGAATAAACAAGATTAATAAAGAAGAGAAGGCAGAATGGTAGATTTAAAGCTCTGTTGATAATAAATGGTCTACACACTCTATGAAAAAGCAAATGCTGTCAGACTAAATAACAAATGACTCATCTATTGTAGTCATGAGAGTTGCAGTTTGTATATAAACAGATATGTTAGAGGTAAGAGGGTCGAGGGTGAGCCATGGGAGAGCATGGAAGGGCTAGTCCTAAGAATGCTGGGGTGGTGGTGCTGTTATGGGCAAGTAGGTAAGGGCTGCTACCAGTGAGGAGGAAGGCTGCTGATCATTGTAAGTATGCACACCCCTTGCCTGAGGAACAAAAGCATAAATAGGAAATGAACAATAATGATTATAGAGATTTCAACAGTCCTCAGTAATCAATATGTAGAAAGAAAGTAAGGCTTTAGAGAAACCTAAACTGTCAACATTTCTACAATATTTAACCCAATCCAGAAATACACATTCTCTGTGTGTGCAGGGGTACTGGGTAGCCGAAACCCAGGGCCTCACACATGCTAGGTAAGTACTCCTCAATCACAGAGCTACTTTCCTGGCCTTTTACAAATTTGTTACTTTATTTTGAGACAGGATCTTGCTGTGTTTCCCAGGTTGGTCTAGAATATATGATCAAACACTCATTCTTTTAAGTGTATCTAACATGCATTAAGAGATCAGATTCTGAATCATAAATGAGAAGTAAATAAGTAATCTATAATGGAAATGTAGCTGGAAAATTCCTGAATATTTGGAAACTAAACAGACTTCAAATCTATGAGTAAAAGAAGAAACCTTAAAGGAATGTTATAAATGTTATAAATGTTAAAAGAGAGCATATTGGAATGTATGCAATACAGGTAAACAGTGCTGACAGGGGAAATTATTAGGATTAAATGTTCATATTAGAAAACATAAAAGGTCTAAAATGATGAACAATCTAAATACTTTTACCATAGATGCTGTGGGTAAGCAAGTATACTAAGAAGTAGTCAGGCAGTTTCTTGACCAACTATACTCTTATCATAACTCTGTTAATCCATTCTTTCACATATTTGCCAAGAGAAACAAAAACCTACATCCACACAAGTTATCACAGGAGCTTTATTCATATAGCCCAGAGCTAGAATCAGCCCAAATCCATCGACAGATGAATGCACAAATAAGAGTTCACATCCATACAACTGAACACTCAACCAAAAACAAACAAAATATTGATATATTATTAGTGTATAAGTTTCAGAAAAACCAGGCTGGGTTAAAAGAATCCTATGTGCTATGTGAAATGCTAGAAAAGGCAACCTTAGTTTTTTTCTTGTTTAGTTGGTGGTGGAGATTGAACCCAGAGCCTCACAGATGCTAGGCAAGTGCTCTATCACTGAGCTTCATCCCTAGCCCCAGCCCTTTTTATTTTATTTAGAGACATGATCTCAATTAGTCTGGCCTTGAACTTGCTCCTGATCTTCCTGCCTCAGCCTCATGAATAGCTGGTGTTATAGCTGTACACCCCCATGACTGGCCCTAAACCTGATGTTCAGTGACACAAACCAGTGGTTTCTTGGGAACAGGTGTGGGAGGAGGATTGAGAAGGGATGCTAGGGGCTGGGCTGTAGCTTGGTTGGTAGAGTGCTTGCCTAGCATGCACAAGGCCCTGGGTTCCGTCCCTAAAACCGCAACAAAAAGGCGGGCGGAGGGTTACTGAGGAACCTTTGGGTGTTTGAGTGATACAGTATTGTGTCTTGATTTTGGTGATGGTTTATTAAGTGCATACATTTGTCAAAACTTGAGAAATATGCTTAAAAAGGATAGATTTTACTGTTTGTAAAACTATATTTCTCAATCGGTCATTTCAATATAAAATAGAAACTTTAAAAATAATTCTTTTTTTTTTAAAGGAGAGAGAATTTTTTGATTTTTTTTTTTTGTTGTTGTTGTTGTTGTTTTTGTTTTTGGCAGACACAACATCTTTGTTTGTGTGTGGTGCTGAGGATCAAACCCGGGCCGCACACATGCCAGGCGAGCACGCTTGAGCCACATCCCCAGCCCTAAAAATGATTCTTACAGTGTAAGTAATAATGTGGGTGGGGATGTGGCTCAATCGGTAACGTGCTTGCCTGGCATGCGTTCGGCCCGGGTTGAATCCTCAGCACCACATACAAAGATGTTGTGTCCACCGAAAACTAAAAAATAAATATTAAAAAAAAAAAAATGTGGGTGGATGTGCATATCCACACAGGTACCTAATGCAGTAGAGGATCCGGCAGTCAAACAGTTGAAAGCAGAGGCCAGTTTTCCCCTCGCACTTTAATGGGTTTCTAGTCCTGAAGATCCCATTAGTTTTTCATGATAAGAATGAAAGCTGGAGAGTGTAAGACATCCATACTGGTCTCACTTAGGACATCAGCGGGATTGGGATAAAAGTCCTTTTTGTTTTTTATCTCACAAAGTTGAGAGTCTGTTTTAATTTGCTAAGGACTTCTTGACTTATTTTCCTGAAGGAAGTGATATCATGCATGGTAAATTGTGTCTCTTAGAATCTTGTCTTCTTGTTAAGTTGTTTCCTTCGAAATTTAAAGGCGGTTGTTTCACCTCTTACCTGTTGACTGATCTGCAGATTATGTTCTCACAAACCTAGTTCTGTTTGATTAAGTCAGTGTAAAGTCTGTACAGACTCACTTAGCATTCAGACCAGAAAGCCATTACCTATTCCTAAAAGGTTTTTAACACCAGTAAAAAGAAGGGATTAATAAATGAACTTTGAAATGTAGTGCAGAGTTTTATTCTTTAAATTAAAGAAAATAGTGATTTCATTTGGAGGATTCATTAAGTATATTACACAATTATACCACGGACACAACAGACCTAAGTGGTTAGAACTCTTAGACACGCAGCCCTAATGCTCCAGTGTGGGCCCCTTTTCTTCCACTCCCCCAGGTGTTCTTTTTCACTCTCACACCCACCACACCCTTCCCTCCACCCCATCTCCTCAGTCCCCTCCCGCCCTCTTCCCGCCCTCTTCTTCCTCTCCTCCCCCTTTCTCCATTCCACAGTTTATAACTGATTTCTTTCAGTTCAACACAGACCTCATTGGTAGAGGTTCCTCTAATCCCAGCCTCGGAGATCTTTTAATTTGGATCCCCAGGCCTGGTGGGTCTTACATACTCAGTGTTCACAAAGAGCTCTAGGTTTGCGGACATCCTTGTCCAACATCATCCCTCACAGCCATCCCTCTCCCCTGTGGAAATGTACCTGCCTCCAGGCACATAGCGGGTGTCCCTCAGGAGGGACATTTTGAAGCTGGGAGTGATGGTGAGCTCCGTTTTTCTGGATGGTGGGAGGAGCATTTGAGCCCCCAAGTCCAGATTCAGCCTGAGCTTCACACATAGCAAGACTCGGTGTCAAAAAGAAATAGTGGAAATATTTGTCAACGGAAAATTATATTGGTACTTTTGAATCCTGAACTTATATCAGAAGTCTCTTCATATTTCACAGTTTTATAATTTTAATTCATATTTACCACCTAAAATGTAAACTGCTTAAAAGCCACGGAATTGATTATTGCAGGTAAATTTTTTTTTTTCTTGTAATTCTGGGGATCAAACCCAGGTCCTCACACATGTGAGGCAAGCTCTCTCCTTCTGATCTACTCGCCCAGTTATAAACTTCACTTGGTGTAGGGGGGCAGTATTGCTGGGGCTTGAACCCAGGGCCTCACATATATCAGGCAGATTTTCTACCAACCAACCTAAATATTTCTTCTTTTAAACCTTGTGTTGTTCACAGAAATTCCAGCACCTACCCAGGAGTCACGTTGGAAAGCTGCTTTAAATTCAAAAGAAATAATCCCAGTGGCAGAAAATACAGCTGAGGTACTAATATAAAATGCTCTGTCAGGGACTTTCCTTCCAAATTGAGTGGGAAGTATCTGTTTTACTCTTGAAGAAACATGTGGCTCACATTTCAACTTAGATAACATTTCAGTGGGCTTTTAAAATGTGCTATCATGAGTCTACTTATTTACTTAATTAAAATAATTCAGTTAAATTTTACAGAAACTATAGATATTAAAATCCTTTTTTCATCTAACAAATTAAGAAAGAATTGTTTTGTCATAGCCATTGTTGAAAAGGGTTGAGGCTAATTGGTTTTCTCATACTAATACTTTCATGTAAATCAGTTCAGTGTTTGGAAACAAGATGTGATATTTATCCAGAATGTTTGAGACCTATCCCATTCTGGATCAGTGATATTCCAGAATGTAGACATCTTAACTGCAAAAGAGCCTCATGCTTAAAAAGACTGGATTTAGCCTCACATATTCTTGAAATATCCTGTTTGTTATTTCGATAAAAGGAGTGAAGAATGGGAAATATATATTTGAACAGCTGCAGTAGACCACTTTAAAATAGTCAGTTCCCAGCCAACTGGCTTGCTAAACTTTTTTACAAATATGCTTTTAGGATTTTGATTCCTTTGAGCACCTGCCACCTCTCCCAGAACCACCACCACTACTCCCTGAACTGGTGGACAAAATCCAGGACACACTCCCTCCCCAGAAGCCAGAGCTCAAAGTGAAGCGTGTGCTGAGACCCATGGGCATCGCCCTGACTTGGAACATCAGCGAGGTCAACCCTAGGTGTGCTCCTGTGGAGAGCTACCACCTCTTCCTGTGCCATGAGAACTCAACTACCAAATTGATTTGGAAGAAAATTGGAGGAATCAAAGCTTTTCCACTCCCAATGGCCTGTACTCTATCTCAGTTATTGACTTCCGACAAGTATTATTTTACTATCCAGTCGAAAGACATTTTTGGGCGATATGGACCATTTTCTGACATAAAATCTGTCCCTGGGTTTTCTACAAATCTTACCTAAAAGAAAAATCTTCAAAAACTTTGTTGTATAGTACATATTTTCCCCCATATTTGAGCTGGTTTACAATGTTACCCTTAACACTATTTGCCATTTTACGTGGCCATTTCAGATTGTGAATCCTTTTGTATGGGGACAGTTCTCTCTTATGTATTTGTAAGTGGCTTATAGCTTCACTAATTTTCTATTTGCATTCAGTGTGTTCTTTGTATGTGTTCTCAAACATACACTATGGTGGACCCATTTTGCTAAGGTGTGTTATGAACAATTCCTTTGGAGACTGGAGCTGCTGCTTTTATCAGAAGCTCTATAGCACAAGTGATCACCATTTCCTCTATTGACAATCAAGTCTGATGACTTGCTTGGGTCATTTTAGGTACAGAAAAAATTGGCCCTTTATTGAGGCCAGATCATCTTTGGGGCATATCCCCGCTAAGGTTTCATAAAAAATAAATGTCTTTCCATTCTGTTTAAATTCTAAGGGCTATGAATTTGTGCCCCTTGTATTTTATTTTATTTTATTTTATTGACTATGTTAGTCTTTTGGAGAAATAGTCTGGAGGTTTTCCCTAAGTGTATTTGTATACTTATATACATAAAATGTGTTAAACATTGTGTGCTGTGTACACAAAATCATATAACATCTCTTATAAAAAAACATTGTCTAACCACACTGGTTCAGTTGTGGAGTTGTCCACTGCAGACTAAGGCTTTAATTTGCTGATTCCCCAAATGCTGCCCTTACTACTCAGAGGACATAACACCAAAGCCCTAATGTCTAGGTCTCCTTGTGCTTGTCCCCAAGGGCATACAAGCACCCCTGAGATGGACCGAGAGAACAGACTTGAGAAGTGGAATTCAGGCTCAAGGGAGACCGACCTTGTGGACAGCTAATAACCGGGATGTCGGGAAAACAGGAAAGAGAGGCATTCTTTCCTGGCAAATAGTCAAAAGTTCCAAAAGTAAATAACTGAACAGGGCAGGAGGCTGAGCAGGAGAATCACAGGTTTCAGGCCAGCCTGGGGAACTTAGCAAGGCCCCATCTCAAAAATGGAGGGCCTGTGGGTTCCATTGCTAGTACTTTGTATAAAAAACACAAACAGGTTATGGTTTCCTTGGCATTTTGTGGATGATGCCCATCTTCAGTAATATCCTGTTGTGTTTTTCAGTTGCCTGTGTCTTAACAAAACATTACAGTAGAAAGAGCCACATTCTGAAGTGCGTCTCACTGGACGAGCTGCTCGCTGAGAGGTCCGTTTAGAACTCAGCAGCAAAGGATGTCCTGCAGCACAGAACAAGGAGCTCGCCCCACGTGAATCTGTCACCCTCAGGTCGATGGAAACTAGATGTTCGCTGGTAAGTGAAGCCCAAAGACTTGACGTCCTATCAAGATTCTGGCGCCCTTCGCCAACGTGAAACTGCATGCCCCTGCAGCAGGCCATCTGGAAAGTGGGGTGTGCAGGCTCCAGCAGAGAGCGTCAGGCGTCAGGACCAGCAGGGAGGCTGATGTGGAAGCAGACATCTGAATGTGAGTGGCTCAGACAGCGTTGGTATTTCTTGCCTTTTGCAGAGGCAGGGACAAAATTCTCAGCTGTCAGTGACACCAGAAGATAGCCAGCCCAAGGGCAAGGAAGTCCTGCCGGCCAGCACAGTCACCCCACAAGGTGCCACCTGGGCTTGCAGATTAGTGGGAAGCTTTATGCCTCCATCAAGTTACAGGAGGAAACATAAGCCAGCATCAGATGTGACTCACCTGGCTCGTGGAATCCCCAGGAGTCCCAGAGATCTGGGCTTGGGAACCGGGCAGGCATAATTCACAACGACCTTGGCATTCTGCCTCACAATGAAGCAATACTTTAATAATGCATTTTAATACATTTAATAAAATAATGCTTTTAAGAAAATAATGCTCTTAATAAAATACTTTTAATAAATTTTAAAGATGGGGAAGTAGGCCCAAGGAGCTTATAAGACTTTCCCAAGGTCACCAAGACCCAAAGAATAAGTGGGGCTGGAATTCAAATCTAGTTCTTGGTTCTGGGGTACATGTTCTTCCCGTGGGGACTAGGTGGATACAGCAGAGTGTACACTGTCCCCGCTGCCTTGGGTCTCCGTGGAAAGCCCTGGCTCACAAGGTGAACTAGGGAAGCAAACCTTTCATTTGTCCTCAGTTAAAGGTGGGTGACTGAAACATCTTTTGCTGCCTGCAGCTCCTGTAGCAGACTTTAGCCACAGGAGGAATAGGCACAGCGTGGGCAGCTCCGTGCTCGGCCATGTGTCTGATGGGAGTGGTGTCAGGGCCGGATTGAGAGCCGCTCTCTAGGCCATACCTTTGGGTATACCTGGCAGGTGAGGCATGGAGGAGGGAGCACAGCCATGGGAGAAATGAGAAGCACTTTATTACTCACAGGTCCACAAGAGAAGAGGCTGAGCACAAGGGCCAGTGAGAAATCCAGACTGCAGGGTGCTCAGCCAGTGCTTGGGAGTAAGAGCAAAGGACCTTTGGGCCTAACGTATCTAACGCGGTCCAGTACATTTACCTAAGTAGGTCCCTTGAGGGCCTCTGATTGGTGGCTCCTTTGCTTTCTTGCTCCCCGTCACTGGTTGAGCACCCTGTAGACTCTGCATTTCACACTGGCCCCATAGTCACCCCTCTTGTCTTGTGGACCTGTAAGTAAGTAATAAAGTGCTTCTAATTTCTCCTGTGGCTGTGCTGCACCTGTGCCTCACCTGTGGGGACTAGATGGACACAACAGAGTGTCCCTCTGCCCAGTCAGGTCTCTCCTAGAGACCAAGTCTCATGGAAGGAATCCTAGCAGGTCAGACAAGAGCTGTAGGATGCCTGGGAGAGGGACGCTTGGTCACGGTTTGGACACTACCGGTCAGCTCTTGGTTGCTATGACAAAATGCCTTAAAACTTTAAAAAAGGAAAGATTGACTTTGTCTCCTAGTTTTGAGGGTTTTTGTCCATGGTCCTTCTCCACTGTTTTGGGCCTGTGACAAGACGTCATTATGGTGGAAGCACATGGCAGAGGACACTGCTCACCGCATGGGCCCCACTGTCCCCCTTCCTGTCACCCTCAGTGACCTCACTTCCTTCATTAGGGCACATCTCCTAAAGGTTCCACCACTTCCCAGTAGCGCATGGGTTGGGGACCAGGCCTTCAGTAGTTGGGCCTTCAGGGACATTCCAGATCTAAACCAGTCCAGACAGTCAGGCACCGGGCTGTCCCTAAGACGAAGCCATTTCCTGTGAAGGGCACAGCAAAAATCTACAGGCACCTCTGTGGGCCGCTGAGGCCTGGGCTGGGGTTTAGCCACTCTCCTTTGAGGGAGACCTCAAGACCAAATTAGAGAAAATTGCAACAGTGAGATAATGTGAAATACCCAGGACAAGCAAGTCCTTATTGGTAAGTGATGAAAACCAGTAATGACAATAAAAGCAAGCATAGAAAACAGTGACTAAGGATTAGAAGTACCTTGTTTCCTAACTGCTAATTCACTGCGACAAGGTGGTCACCAGATGTGTCACTCAGATATCCATGGAAATAAAAAATATCCTTTAAAACTATGTTAACAAATTCCCAGTAGAAAAGTATAAACAAGGCACAAATCAAAAATTTCTTTTTACCACCCACTCTCTCTCCTTGCAGAGGAGGTAATCACTGTTAGCGGATTAATGTATTTCCTTCAAGACTCTTACAATGCATGTGTCTATAGGGTCCTGACAAATGGCCCTCAAAGCTGCGCCACCCACATTCCACTAACAGTATGGAGTACACCCTCCCCAACACTGGTCTTTAATTGTAAGGTGATCCAGAAATTCCGGATCTTCTCAAGACTTGTGTTTTGTTTTTTTTTTTAATTTATTTATTTAATTGCATAATAATTGTACATATATGGGATTCAGCATAATCTGACGCATGCATATAATGTGCAATAATCAAATCAGGATAATTAACAATTTATCATTTCTTTATGATGGGAACCTTGGCAATCCTCCCTTCTAATTCTTTATAAAATGCATAGTAAGTTGTGAAGAATCGTCGTCCTACTGGCTACAGAGTAATCTGGTGTTCTGTCCAAGCCCTCTCCTCCCTGCTCCCTTCCTCAACTCTAGTGACTACTCTTCTACTTGGCACTTCTGTGACGTCAACTTTTTTGGCTTGCACATAGGAGTGACCAAATGGGATATTAATCCCCTGAACTAATGTCCTGCTGTTGATAAGTTGGGACTCACAGGTTCGGGGGGCGGGGGTGTCAGTTTGGATTGAGAGAGCTGGTTTTCAGTCTTCCTCGTATCATTTAATATGTATCCATAAGTAGGTGGCTTTACCTTTCTTTTTAGTACAGGGGATCTAAGCCAGGGGCAATTTACCACTGAGCCACATCCCCAGCCCTTTTTATATTTTAGTTTGAGACAAGGTCTTGCTGACTTGCTGGTACTGGTGGCTTTACCTTTCTGAATGTGTCTCCTCAACTAAAATGAGAGAATTTATGTAGTCAGATCTCTAAAGTCAGCAAGCCATCTCTCAAGAAAAGGAGGACAGTAAAACCCCATCCCCACCTCTGTTAAGGGGATGGTGAAAGCAAGCCTGGTGCAGTTTTCCAGATAAATATTATCTTGAAAGACACTGGCTTGCTCACGTGTGCTGGGAATGAGGGCAAATTGGTGCTGTCTGCAGAAAGCTGCTCTCTTGCTCACATAGCAGGACTGCTGCTCACACAGGGAACAAAGCAAACTGCTCCTGTAGCCTAGCTTATAAAACCCCACCCCTGTGGTCACTCGTGTGGAGTTGAGGACACTGTACAGGATGAGTAACACTTGTCCAGCTGCACACCACTCAACAGGGTGCCATCAGGGATGGAAGCACTATTTCTGGCATTCACCATGACAGCAAAGGTGCTATTTGTCCGACCTGTCACCACTGGACTTTCTGGAGTGGCATCATGAGGGATGCTGGTGCTATCCGGACCTTCCCATATTTTTCAATAAATCCTAACTCACATGCCATCTCCAGGGGTTTTCTTTGGCTTCTCAACAAACTAGCCCACTGTCCAAGCACAATTGGATTGTGGACACAACTTTCAACCCTCAAAAATTACAAATCATAAAAATTATATCAGAATTGGAAGACTCAGAATGTGATTTGGAAACTGAGGTTCTTAGGGTCTGCTTCACAATTCATTGATTTCAGTCTAATAGGATGGATCCTGCGAGTGTCTGTTTATGGAGGTTGCTGGAGTGTGCAGCATGGAGACTCATGTGAGCCACACTATTTGTATTTTTTGTATTTATTACCCTTTTTGATGGCTCATTTTTGTCTTTGCCTTCCTTCTGCTGGAATTCTGCTTATCTGAGCAATTGGTTGTTTCTCTGTTCTTTTAGTGACTCCTCAAATGTCAACATATATTACATTAAAACTTTTCATTATGGAAATTTCCAAACATACAAAAGCGGAAGGAGTGATACAGTAAAATTCATGTTATCTGTCAAATAAGAATCAAATCTAGCCTCAGGTAAGAAGAGAACCTATTAAAAAGTACTCACTATAACAGGGAGAGGCCACGACCACAAGGTCTGCAAGGCCCTCAGAATAAGGGCTGGAATGG